GTATTTATGTTCTGTAGATGTGAACATGCCCAAGGTCACGTAGCTGGAAAGTGGGAGACATGGGATCTGAACCTTTTTCTGAACTATGGAGCTATGTGTTTCCTTCTAGGATATACTTCCATTTTGTACATTAATTCTCTGAATTAATATTTTTAAAGTAAACTGCTCTGGGTTCTCTGATAATTCCTGGCTACTTACTATATTAAAACCATTATCTTATTTGTTGCACATAAGAGAAAACAGTGAGGGACACTCCTGGAAGGAAGGTGACCTGGGAACAGAAGGCCAAACCACGTGACGACACCAGCTGCTTAGGGCCGGCTTCCCCCCCAGGAGGAACCGCACAGCGTTGGGCTTTCACGGTACCAGTGCGACTGTGCCAGCCCCCGGGGGACCTCTAGTTGGTACTGTGTCTTTATGTCTAGAAGAAAGGATGCAGTAGTGAGCGATACACAGTGAAGACAGAATAGTCATACTTTAAATTACAGTTAAGCTAAACATCATCTTTAACTGAGTTGTAGCCTCAAGTCATTAAGTTGCTGTTTAGTAATTTAATCCTATAGGAGAAAAAAACGAGGTAGAATTATGATACTGTGTTCTGGTTTTGTTATTCAGCAATTCAGTCCCCCACATACATGAGTGTGGTTGTAGCTCATTTGAAGCTGTAGACAGGAGTATTTAGAGAGATTCCAGATGTGCTACTCTGTAGCCATTCAGTCAGTAAATAAAAACACGATGATAGTGGAATGCTAATATTTTCTCCAAAAAAGTATTCAAAGATTTAGAGGTTTGCTGATCAAAAAATACTGCTGCTTCAGTTTCTGCCACATTGCCGAGGCTGACCCATCTCTGGACTGACATCAGGTAAGAATTTAAAAAGAGCAAAGTAAAAGTGATTTGTGAGCTAAAGAATAAAACTGTCAAATATATTTTTTTTTCTTGTTTAGAATACTTTGATATTTTCCTGGTTCGTAGAAGACTACAAATTTGAGAGTAGCATGGCATCTGGGGTCTAAACGCTGCCATATTTTTCTGCATTTTCTCGTGTCAACTACCAATTTGACTTTTAAATCGTTGCAGTGAACATGTATTTTACATCCTGTGTCAGAGACTTCACTCCTGAAATATTAAACTTCAGATTCGGAAGCCTGATGTCTAAAACTCTCACGTTCTTCCCTAAAGTGGTTATTTGTGATACCAATGGTACGTAAAGGAACTGAACGTAAAATGACAGTCACACATGAGTTTCGATGACTTTAAGATCATCTGGTCCAACCTCCCTCACAATTTCTGATTGCTTTCGACATGATCCGTATTAAATGATCAGACACCTAATACTTCACTCTAGAGGCGTCGGAACCACCAGTCCATTTCAGGGCAAGTCAGAAGAAAAGAAGCAGCAGCAACACTCATAAAAGTCTGTGCTTTGGGGTGAAGTTCAATCGATTCTCTAATTTCCAGGACTGCCAAACACTGTGACCTCAGGCACCAGTGCCGCCGAGTCCCGTTTATACGCCCCATCATTCTCCTTGGCACCACATGTAAGGCCTTGAATGACAAACTTCCAAATGCCTTCGTTTCCTGAAACTCTGCATTTTCAGCTCTCCAGAACTCGTAACTCTCCCGAGTCAGTACTGGGCGGAATCTACACACACCTGGTCTTCACATTTCTCATGCAAAGGCAACAGTCCTTCATAGAAATCAGTTATGCTTCTAGTATCTGTCCTCGTATTAAGAATTCTAGGTCCCTGACCTTCCTCGGAGGCTGGTGGCATCAGGAGCTCGCACTGTTGGCCCCCTGAACCAGGCTCTGGTTCCTGCTCTCTCTGCACGTTTAGACCAGGCTCTGTCACATCTCCTTGTCAAAGTTCCTAAGAGGCGGCCCATCCCCGCCCGCCTGTCCGTCAGAGGAGGATACCTTCAGTGACGCCGCTTCGAACTCACGCTGGCTTGCTCACTCTCTCTCCCTTCCGTCATCCGTCCCTCCCTCCCCTAATGAAGTGTCCCTTTTGTGTTGTCATTTTGATGCAGAAACAGCATAACAAGGGTTAAGTTTGCTGGCTAGCCCGCAAAATCTTCCTTCACCATAATTTCCCTGAACTACAATTTTCAAAATCTGTGGTCTTTTTAAATGGTTAAACACTTACTATGCAATATATTCTTTGGAAGTTTGAAAAGAAATGTCTAATATACAAAAGAAATTCCTCGTATAATAATATATAAAAATGAAACTTAATATAAAGTGTAATTTAAAAAATGTTTTTTAAACCGATCCATACATGTTTTAATGAGTTATTTTACGTAGTAAGGAACAAGGCAAATATTTCTAAGAATTTTAAAATATTTAAAATGCATGGATCACAATTCTTATTAAAATCTTTATATATAATACTTGATGATATATTTAACAACTTAACATGTTGTATCAATTATACTTTGTAATAAACTATCTGTAATTACAATTATCCCCATTTTACTGAGGAAGAGACTGAAATTTCTTTGCCTGAATCACAAAGAAAACTATGACAGCACCAGAATTCAGATGGAGATCAATTCAAATTCAAAGCTGTTGTCATTATAATACATAGACTGTTCCTGGGTTTGCTTTGCAAATAAAATAATTTTGGAAATGAATATTTTTTCAAATGTTACTTACCCACACACTAAAACCTTCCATGTACCCTGAACTTGTCTGTCAGGTACGCACGGGTCTGAATCCAACTGTTACTTATAAGCTGAGCAAATTACTTAACCTCTCTGAGCTTGGGTTTACTATAAGTAGAAACAAAAATAGCTAAGTCTTAAAAAAAAAAAACAAAATGAAAAAAAAAAACCAAACACACAGCTAAGTCTTTGAGATGATAAAGTAACATGTAGAAATGGTCAGTGTCTGTAAAACTTGGCATACTGTATGACCCACATGGCCAAATATCAAAAACAAACAAAAAAACCACCATCCTCTTCTCCTTCACAATCGCCCCCGGGCTGCATGGGCGCACACAGATTATAAGTTCTTTCTACTATTTGGTTGCGAACAGGCATTCTCGTTACCTTCCTCCTCTGCCATGGCTTTTGGCTTTGAACATTCCAAAGCACAAACACTCTGACACAGAACGTCTGTGGGCTGCGCCCTGCCCATCCCAGGCCACCCTGCACTGCACCTCGACACTCACAATCACACCCCGCTCCCGCTCCCCATCCTGGGACGACCTACGCGTAGCACACCCTCCGGGATGCAGGATGTACAGTGACTGACACTTTCGCAAGGAGATTCCTGCTTTGGACTCTGGTCCCTGCATCGTCTCCGCGAGGGCGAGGGCTCAGCATCCGCGTGGGCCTGGTCTCCACCACACGATTCCAGTTAAAACTGGAGAGAAAAACTGAGACTGAGATGCTTTGGTAACAAAACCTGATTCTGAATATCTGAGTCTCTACCAGTTTCTATTAAGTTTTGCCCTCTCTTCTCTCCAGGTGGCTGCTGAAGTACCGGATTGATTTGAGCGATGTGGTGGTGACTGCATTTTGCACAGGAGAACGCTCACCGCCTACCCCCGTGCCTGCTGTCAAGGAAGCACAATGCTGACTCCACACGGAATGAAACGTCCTTCAGATCAACCTGGTTTAAGTTTCACGTGGACACCACACTACATTCTGCTCATCGTTCTTCAGGATTTTATAGTTGCATAAACTGTAACATGATTATTCACACACATTAAAAAAAAAATACAGAGAATATTCGCTTTCTTTCATAAAGCAATAGCCTCAGAAAAATCACACTCCCAAAAGTAAATGCAAGTACTATACAGAGAGAGCGGCCTCAGCTAATACTGAGCGGCACTGTCATTGGAATACTTAACAGAAATCTGTCATTACTCGTCATCTCGAAATCCTCTCCTTTTGTATGACAAGTGGTAAAATAACATGATATACTCTGAAATTGGTCTTACATAACGAAAAATATTAATATATTATGTTCATAAAAAACATTCAAATAACAGTAAAAACAATTCATTTGAAAACAGAGTTGTTCTATATCGGTATCTACACAGCTACATGAGCGTTTTGAGTACTTATATATATTATTTCGCGTGTGTGTGTGTATAATTCCAGTCATTTGAGGTTCCAACAAAATCTGCCTAGGCTCAAAACAATTTCAACACAATTTTTAAAAATATGTCGACATTATTAAGTTCTATAATACTAAGTGTGACAATTTTTATAAATAAATGTTACACGAGAACAATGCTCCATAATTCATTAATATCTTGGAAATCAATGGTTCATTTAATCATTCGTTTATTCAACAATATTTAAGCAATACCTACTTTCTGCAAGGCATAAAGATTCCTTAAAATTTTTTAATTGTTTCAATTCGAATAAATGATATTTATGAATAGAGTCAATCTATGCAATACAAAGGAGCGGTAAACAGTCACATCACTTTCTTAGATTGTATTTTGTGCTACCTGCTGTACGACTTTACGTGGTCTCGATTTTCAACACTATAGCTAATACTTTGCTTTCCATTGTTTCTGTTGTAACCCATGACACTGCTCAGTGAGAACCCTGCGTGCTCACTGAATCTTTTTGGAGTTCTCTGTGGCTTCATCAAATGCCTATTACAGCTACCTATCATTCTGCAGAACCTAAAGACCAACAAGGTAGAATTTGCCCCCGCCCTCTTCCTCCACAACCAGTTAGAACCATCTGGATGTTTACGTACTAGAAATGCCCCACGTAGCAGAGTATCAGGTCACCCCCAGAGGTACTCGGGCGGCTTACAGAGCAAGGACACACTCTGTCTCACAGGAATACAGCTTAGACTGTCATGTGCTTATTAAGCCCTTACCACTGACATGAACTCCACCAAGTGATATATGTGCTACAAATTATATAGATACAACGGGAGTGCCCAGCATTGGTAAATTTCAATGAATATTTAACGGCAGATAAAAATGCTTTCATTTACTCGTATTATGAAGAAAATTTTCCCAACCGACCTGAATCCGTAGCTGTGATCGTCAGGACAAAGCGCTCCTTCGTTTCACGGTCCAAACTCCGTGTTACTCGGAGTTCCCCACCAGCTGAGAGAGTGAAAGCGTTGTCTTCGTTGCCACCAACCAGAACGTAGGAGAGTTTGCTGTTAAGACCCTGATCATCATCTCTCGCCACCACCTGCGGGAGGGGACGATGCGTGCCGTGAATGAGAGCAAAACCAACATGACGTAGACCGCAAAACAAAATGTTTCGATCAAATAATAAGGCAGCATTACATATACCGATACTAAGATGTTCCGAAGACATATTGTTAAAATTCAAGTAAAACAATTCAAGTGGTGCAGAGTAAGTATGTATTATTCGTGTAAAAATAGGCATAAAATCAATGCATAGCTTCTCAAAAATTTTCAATAGCGGTTTCGTCTAGGTAGTTGGATTTGTAAAGAGGGAAGAGAGAACCATGTGTGTGACAAAGTGTTCAAACTTTTACACCATTTTCTTTTCTTACTATGTGCAGATATGACTGTTAAAACGAAATTCAAAAACGCAAATCCATAAATGCGTGCAACATGAGCACACAGGAAAGAACATGACTGAAATGCCACATTCCACGCACAAGGAAATCGATAGGTTCTTAGTTGCGATTTCCCTAAACCTTTCCTTTTCACGATTTGCTGTATCTGCAATTAGCGATTAAGAACGGGAATGAGGAAGAGGTGGCGGAAGCGTGAGCAGAGTTAGGTGTCTTCTGGAGAACACAGCACTTGCTTTATTAAATATACTGACCTGAAGAACCGTCCTGGGCAGTGCCCCTAAATTCTCAGGGACGTTTATAGAGTACGGAGAGAGCTCAAAGGTGGGAACAAAGTCATTGCTGTCCAGAAGGACGATGCTGACCGTGGAGGTGTCAGTTCTGGGGGTGCTGCCCCTATCTGCTGCCTGAACGGTTAAAAGGTAAGTGGAGGTCTTTTCCCTGTCCAGCGGCCTGGCCACCGTGACGGCCCCTGTGACCGAGTCGATCCGGAAGTCCTGGTCGGCGTTGCCGTCCACAATGCCGTAGCGCACCTGTCCGTTGGTCCCCTCGTCGGCGTCGGCCGCGCACACCTGCACCACGTCCGTCCCCGTGAGGGTGTCCTCGCTCATCTCCACTCGGTACAGAGCCTGCGCGAACGCCGGGCTGTTGTCGTTGATGTCGAGCACCACGACCACGACCTCGGCCGACGAGGACAGCGCCGGCTGCCCCTTGTCCGTCGCCAGCACCGTGAGCGTGTAATTGGAGACGGCCTCGCGGTCCAGCTCGCCCGTGAGCCGCACCTCCGCGTCGATGGTCCCGATGCTGAACTTGCTGCCCGACGGGCTCAGCAGGGCGTACTCCACGTAGCTGTTCGGGCCGCTGTCCGGGTCCGTGGCCTGAGCTTTGAAAACCACGGTGTCGAGCGGCGTGTTCTCTGGAATGTACGTCAGTCTCGGGGACAGGAACGTCGGCGGGTTGTCGTTCACGTCCAGCAGGATAATGGAGACCTGGGCAGTGCTGTTTTTGGCCGGAGGCGGGGGCAGGTCGTGCACCTGAACCACCAGGCTGTAAAAGGACTGACTTTCCCGGTCCAGGCTTTTGAGGACTGTCAGCACACCGTTCTTGTCCACCGCAAACTGCCCGAGGCTGTCACCTGAAGCAATGCTATAAGCCAGTTGGGAGTTGATGCCTGAAATGAAAGGGGGGAAAAAATTAAGTTTTCTTAAATGTGTGCTGATTGCGAACTAAGCTGCACCAAGATTTTTATAACGTGAAACTGCACATTTGATATACGATGCCTCCAAATACACCTTATGGATGACCTTAGCTGCAGTTAATGTTCTTCGTCAATAATACGTATGCATAATTCTTTCCCTGCTAACTTTTCATCTGAAAAGACGTTTATAATCTGATGAACAAATGATATATATACTGCTTCCTATTTACTATGGTGTTGAAATGTTAAATTACACAAGTAAAGAGGAAAAAATATTCCAGGGAGTGGATACTTTTCTATACATTTCCTTATTTCTATCACATAATTCCTGAGGGTTCAGCATTAACAGTGCCACACACTATACTATTAGCCAACAATTTATAACTTCAGTAATTTATTGAGGCCAACACCAATTTTCAGAGGAGGGTAATAAAATTTTCTGATGTACGGCATTGGTCATGGATGCTTTAAGTCAACTTTTACATTTCTTGTCAGACCAATAAATACTTTTAATTCCTATTAGGCACCTGGCTAATGGCCTTTGTGAAAATAATTCTCTCAAATTTTATTATGTATATTTAATGTGTTATACAAGTACTCTTTGAAGGAAATGTTAGCAGTAAAATTATACATGAAAGGCCCCAAATATGAATACTCACATTATTCTCAGTCTATATTTCAATAATATTTTATCTACTTTTCCTAGGAACGTGTTACTTTTTAATTTAAAATATATATGTATAAATCCTTATTTCAGAAAATTATTGCAGTCCTCCAACAGAGACAATGCGGAAAATGAATCGGTCATTTGTTTTAGTAAATAATTTAAAGCAAGTAACGTCTAAGCAGCGAAAAGAAAGAAAAATCAGATTTCCTGACCCAGAATAGCATATTCTTCACTGGTCCATAAAACCATGTGCATTTTATATTCTATCATAAAGATATTAGGATATCGTAGAAAATAAGATTTGCTAAGAAATATATTGTGTATCTTAATAATCCATCCTTAATAAAAATTTTATACTCTGAGATTTTATACTCGGGAAAATGTATTAAGTTATATAAATTGCTTACAAATAGCTCTTCTATTTCTGCAGTTAATTTCAACCATTCAGGTATCAGAAATAATTTCAGTTCTTTGCCAAGAGTCTTCTAGAACAATTTGATCACCCTTTACTCTTTTTTTTTTCCTTGAAAAATGTTCTTTCTCGGGATTCTATGAATATTTGAGTTAGGTTTTGCCTTTTCTTGAAACACATCAAGTTCCTTACAAAAGCAAGTTTTATTTGAGTAATGGGATTTTCCTTTTTGTCAGGTAGGGCCTGCCCGTTCTTTTTGAAAAATGCTAGAATTACTCTTTTCTTGTTATTTAATGGTCTCCGTCTAATGGCCTCTGACTATATATTGATGCAAAGAAAAAAACATTTATGAAGATAACTTTCAGGTACCAGCTCATTCACAAAAATTTCTAGAATAAACAAAGGTTGAGTAGATTTTTGAAAAGGTAGAATTTTCCTCGTCTCATTATGAGCTGTGGCTTGTAATCGCTATAGTTTATTTAGGACTATTTCACAAGTGAACAAAGCAGAGGTTGTAAAGTTCAGAATACTTAGGACTCTCAGAATTAGGAAAAATATGAATAAATAAAGCTAGTGGAGGCCACAGGTCAACTCACCAGCAGGAGATAAAGAGAATGTTAAGATCTGGATTGAACAATGTCAACAGCCTATTTCGACTCCTCAACTTAAAATTCCACAAGTTTGGGGGATGGAAAGATCCATCCACTGGTGCCAAAAGAAGTTCCATCAGCAGGTGCAATATATGAATATGTTATTTTCTAAGGAGATCTATATCTCTGAACAATTAAAATTAAGGTAATTTGATTTAATATATATGCATAGTGTATATTTATATACGTAATATATATTTTCAAATCAAATTACTCTCTAAGGAAAATTTCTGTATGTCCTATGACTAAATCCATCAGTAATTATTGAATTCTTATTCTTGGAGGCACAAATTAAGACACAATTATTATCGAAAAAAAGTTATCAAAACATCTGGATAAAAATAAGGACAACAAGCAGAGATATGCAATTTAGTTCTATGCAAGCCTATAAAATCTTGCATGCCCAAGATCAAAAAAAATTTTTTTAAATACTGACAAATTGCACATGGCTATAAAGTGATGGACTAACATTTCTACATAAATCAACCGGAATGCAAGCAGCTAAATCAGCGATTTGAACACCCTTGGTCCACTGCATATGCTGCTTCCTTGAGTAAACAACTAAACTGCAAAGACAAAAAGAGAACATGATACCAAGATTTTATAGCCTCTTGTAAACAGCAGAATAGCCTCCTTTTTTTTTTTTAGAGAAAAAGTTTAGTGGGGTATGGGTGGAGGAAGTAATAACTATTAAACTTTAACTAGAATCATGAAAAAGAAAGATTTGATTTTAATCTTCAAATTCATACTGATAAATACATTAGGTGATAATATTAAGAAAAGAACTACAATAACTATCGTTATCTTTGAGAAAATGAACGAAAAAATATTAACTACTTTTGCACAAAATATCACACCACCATCTAAAAACCATGTCTTTTGTCTCTGGAACTGAAATCTTACTGCTGTAATAATAGACCTTGGAAGCCATCTGGATTTCCTTTACTGTAAAGAAAAAGACTTTTCATTTCTGATAAGTCTAAGTGACTTGGGGCATGTGCTCTACATCCAGAAAATACACGAAGACATACTGAAACTCAAAATTCTCTGAACATTTGTAGTCTCCTGAAAAACAGAGAGTTCAGGCCATTTTTCTCTCTATGCTTTTTACATCAAATATTAGACTCATGAAACAGTAAGTACATTTAAAATTCTGTAATTCATCCAAAGTACTGGGATTTGAATTTCGTGGGCTTTCATAATCCACCAGATCTTCAAACTTAACACAGTTTGTATTTCTAACCATTTCTGTTCCATGTTCTGAAAGTGGTTTTAGTTACACGATTCTTTCTGGCAGCTTTATTCTATATGTGTGGTTGTACTGGAATTTTTTCTTTTTTTGTTTTTTATTTCAGTCTCATGAATAATTTAGTTCCAGGAAACATAGCACGTGACTACAGGTATAAAGTTCTGTTATAAAATGTGTACATTTATTCACGATCCATAAAATGTTGTCTGTTTCTATGATGAACTAGTATTTGTCAACTTGTGATACAGCTGCATCACATGGCACTGTTTCTTTATGAAGCAATTCCAAAAAGGTCATCAGGTCACTGGATTATGAAATGACCTGCATTGTGTACCAAGCAATTGATTCAATAATAATTATAATCATTTTATTCTCAAAACACCCTATGACTCCCCAATATTTTGAAGAAATACATTTTAAATGTATTTCTAGAATAACAAAATAATTATCAAAGACACTATTTTCATAAAGTTTCAATTTATAATAATTTGCCTCAATATAGTACTTTTTAAACTGTATTCATGGAACCCTTGAGATTATTACATATACTACTTATCTTGTGAAAACAGTAAAATGTTTGCTTTATTCTTATTAAATGATCAAGTGACTAAAATTTTAGGTTGAACTCTTGGAAAATCTATATACAGATAACAGAAATTCTTAAATTTATTTTATAAAATTTCTTCATCTAAGAAGATGAAAATATTACCTCATCAGGAACATTTTGATCAGAGATTATGATGAATTTATGAGATTTTAAAAAGTCTGAACAATACTGTTTACAAAGTACTTTGAGAACTATTTAGTGTGATTGAGTGGATAATTTTAACAAATAAGGTTACCCTTGTACAGTCTTATTATTATCCTTGAAATTCAGAGAGAATAGTAACTGTGTCCTATATTTTAGGTCAAGGTACAGGAAATTACACTGATAAAAGTATTCAAAACTAAAACAATGGGAAAATGTAGCTCGATATTTTTTTACCCAACACAATTAAAGGGGAAACATATCCATGAAAAGTAACTTGAAGTCCACGGTTAAAGTATGTCTGTACATGCATGTGCATAGAATATTCCAGCATGTTTTCACAAACAAAAAAGTTTCTCGTTTGCCATTTTCCCAGTTCCCTACATTTAAAGTTTGGGGATAAATCAAATTTATTCCAGAAGAGCACAGAATCCTATGAAATAATGGGCTCTCTCTAGCGCGTAATAAATAAATCAAACAGAAACACGGCGGAAAATTCTTCCCTGAAGATAGTCAGGACCATTCGATCCCGAGGACAAACAAGAAAATAGTCACATCCAGGGAGCGAGCACACGGATTAGGTTATAATAACAGAGAATCGACTTCCAAAATAGAAACCGGTCTCAATTGTTTAAAAATGTGTCACTGGAGCCCAGCCACAGAGCTGGCTGATGCACATGGCCCAGAACGCACGGTGGTCTTGGGTGGGGCTGGGAGCCTGCCAAACACCACCCTTGACCAAGGGTGGTCACTATCGTTCGTGCTATTAGCGATGTAGCGGCGCTGCTGATACGGCCACGTCTACTTTACACATCCTCATGTGTCCGATGCTAATCGTGCTTGAATAGAAGACACTTCAATAAGGACTTAACCGATTCCATAAATTGAAACATATATAGAATACCATGCTTTTTGCCTCTCATATCTGTGAAAGGGACATTTCCAGGCACTCCTGAAAAGAAACTAAGTATAGAGCAGCATACTGACATAGAGGGGTATTCTGAGTTCATATAAATCATGCCAGTCAGGGAGAACCAGGAAATTCTAAATTGAGGTTGATGCCTTTGTGACTAGGCACATCCTCGGGCGAGAGCCCAATTTCCTCTTCAAAGTGTCCTTCCTTGTTTTCTCTACTGACAACATTTGCTCCATGCAATGCGAGGGAAAACAAAGTATTATGTTTCCAAATAGTTTAGTTAAAGGCTGATAATTTGTACAATGTTATCGCTAAGGCTATATTATCCGATATGTGTGTTCTGTGTTTCCAGAACAGGCCTTAGAAGAAAGGCCTGGGACACATTTTAAAAGAAAGTTCATCAAATGCTTTTGCAATAAATAAAAATCAGACACATGTAAAGTCTATGCAGAAATCTCAACTTAATTTTATAGCATAAGTTAAAGAGCTCTGAGACTGTCCTTTTGAACCAAAGCATGAAAACTTGCTGAAATATTAGCAGTTTTCAATCAGAAATATAAAACTATACGTTCTTAAGGATTTTTTGAAGATTTTGGTTTTACTTTTGCTTCCAAATGTTATCCTTTTTACATTAAAATAATACATGTAAGTAAATATTTTTATTTATTTGACAAAAACCTACCAGAAAGCTATTCTATGACTACTACATTACTAACCTTCAATATTGCCACACATTTATGGGCGGGGCTGGGGGGGGATAAAACAATGAAAATGGGTGCTGTATCACTGTTATAAATAAGAATCTAACTGATAAATTACTTAATTTGCATAATCCATATAGCTAAATTATAGATCTATTCCTCAATTGTGTACCTATGGTCACAAAATGCAATTTTTAATTTATTTTTATGGTGACATTGGTTAACGAAATCCAGTAAGTCTCAGCTGAACACTTTAACAGTAAGGCATATATATTTACACTGTGTGTTCACCTCCTGTAGTTAGATTTCTTTTTGGCACCACGTATTTGACCCCCTTTACCCCGTCCACCTCCCTCCTCTCCCCCTCCACCCTCTGGTTACCACTAGTCTATAGTCCATGTATAGACTACTATACTTTTATTAAGTATAATAAAATAAGTACATACCATCATCTGCGTCAGTAACGTTAAACACGAGAACAGTGGATCCCAGAGGCAGATTCTCCATTAAGGACGTGCTATATGAATTCAAGCTGAAAACAGGTGGGTTATCATTTACGTCTAGTATATTGAAGTAAACCCTGATGGTGGTAAATTGTCCCCCACCGTCTTCGGCTCGAACGGTGAGGATATAATATTGCTGTGATTCATAATCTAATACTCGAGTCAAATTAAAGACTCCAGTAACTGGATTCAAGAAGAATATGCCATCTTCATCATCTTCATTCACAATATATGTAATTTCTCCGTTCACACCAGAGTCGTCATCTGTAGCTAAAATAGCTGCTACCAAAGAACCTATGAAAAACGAAGAAATTAAGAGTCTACGATTAATGAGGAAAGGGGCGTTACTAAGAGAATATATACAAATACACCGAAGTTTATTTGTACGGTGAAGTATGTTAACTAGAGAGTCACTGAGAAAATATAATGAACAAAATCTGCTGATTTCTACATTTACACTGATACCAGCGTTTCCAAATATTAACAAAACACATAGTATTTTCAGCATCCAGCAGGTCTTATGTGGCAGTGTCAATGTTCTGGGGAATTAACACCACTTCTGGCATTATTTTTCTACCTGGCACTACCAATTCATAACCACGTATTGACGTGTTCGGTGAACATACATGGGGGCCCACTGCTCGTGTCGGGAACTGGGGATTCCAGGCAATAACAACACAGACTTATGCCCAGGGGTATCACCTGACAGCTCGTATGGCCATTGCTGTAATTAAGGCAAGAAATAAATGGGACGGGAATTTCACGGCGGACGTGCACAGCTCCTCTTGGGGAGTGCAGGGAAAACTGTGGTGAGGAATAAGTGTCTTCTGTAAAGATTTCCTTCTGGATTAAATGAGTTTCCAAAACATATACCGTAGTATGCAAACTCGTTTCAAACGCAATACAAAGATTAAACTGGTAAGAATATCTGGCTGTGAGGTGCACACACCAGAAACATGGATACTGAGTTCTCAACAGTCACAACATTACATTCAAAGAGGCAAAGCGATAATTCAGGATTCACGCTCCGCTAACCTACTAGTCCCCAAACCCCATGTTAGCAGACTACTTCTACATTCTGAATTAATCTTTTACCCTAATTCTAACAGGAATGACTGTTTTCATTTTACAGAAAAAGGAATCGAAGCTAAGAGAAATGAATGAACTTGCCCAGGGTCACACGGCTGGTAAGGGTGACAGCCACTAGTCACAGCATAGATATTTTCGTATCTAGTAGCATATGGCAAAAACTAGCTACTAATTAAGAGCAGCCAAAACACAGTCCATAACTGTAGATCATCTTTGACTACAGTCAAATACCCCTAAGGGCGCACCCCCTACCTGGGGTTGTGTCTTCTGGGATGTCAAAAGAGTACACAGGTCTGGAGAACTTGGGCGAGTGGTCGTTCACGTCGCTGACGGTGATGTTGATTCTCATATCTGAAGACTGCAGGCCATCGTCTGCACGGACCAGCAAGGAATATTTGGAACGGCGTTCCCTGTCCAGCCTCCTGGTCGCTATCAGATCTCCAGACTCGGGGTCAATGCGGAAACTGTCGTCAGCTCCACTAATGATCGTGTACGTGACGAGAGCATTTGCACCCTAAGAAAAGAAGACGAGCATCTGAAGTGTCTGTCAGAGGTGGAACAGGAAGCGCGCGCGCCTTCTGCTGAGTGCGCATTCGACAAAGTGGGGCTGTGGGCTTCATTTCGTATGATACCATGAGATTTCGAAAGGTAACGGGCCAGTGTAGCACGTTACATAGTCTTTCGCCACGCACTCCATTAAGTCACGCAGCAAATCTCAACCTGTGGGATCAGCTATATATATTTTTAAATTCATACGTATACACGGGGAAAGGAGCAAAGCTGTCGCTGTGATAGTGCCAGCGATGACGCTTCTATCAACCACGTAACAGGGTTTGCTAAAGGCTTGTTCTCTGCGAGGCTCTGTGACAGCAGTACGCACGCATCATCGAGTCACGACTCCCGGAGCCGCGAGTTCTCAAACGAGGACACGGGTTCCGGCATCCTGGTGAACTCACACCTCGTCCCACGGTGTTAGTGTGGGTTTCGGACCCAAGTCTGCCCTACTGAGCTCGCATTCCTCGATTCGGCATGAAGAGGTGACTCGGCCAGGCAAGCACACAGTGGACACGCCTTGAGAGATTATTTTGAGCGATTCGTTTGGGGAAGATAAAATGGAGAGCATGTGTGGAACTGAATTGGGCTTTGAAGAATGGAATTATTATTATTATTATTTTTAGCAAACCCTGGGGGCAAATGGTTGAGTTTAAGCAGAAGTCCGGAAGAAAGAACATGCCCGCCTCACTGTTGAACAGTTTGGTTGTGTGGAGGGTTTTAGTGTCGAACACAAGAAGAAAGTCAAGCTAAAATCTTAGGTTGTGGGTCTGTTTTGGAAAATCTCAACTGTAATACACATCGGCTTGAATTCTGTAGCCAAGAAACACCGCCGAGGTTGTTTCAATTGAAAACGATCTTTTAAAAGGCTCTCGGTAGTGCAGGAGGGACTAGCATGGGGAGATGCCACAGGAGGGAGACCGTGAGGGGAGTCTGAGCCCCAAAGACTGGAGCTTCATTTCCTCAAGGGGACACTTTATAGAATCTGTACCCTTTCAGGTTCCAAGTCCCTGTCCCGTGAAATGAAAGCAGGGATGTTTTCTTGTGTTCTCTCGGGGCTTTGAGCTGGGCTCCCCCAAAACTGTAAAGAGTGAACTAGGAAGTTGGCAGAAGGAATGGAAAGCGGAGAAAAAGAGAACATTCATTAAGTGTTTATTAAGTGCTAAGCACTGCTCTGAGCACATGGCTTCATGGGCACGAGGTGACCTCATCCTTCAAGGCAACCAGTTAGGTAAGTACTATTATTATCCCCATTTCGATGATAAAGAGACGGAGACGTAGGAATGTAAACCCTGGCTGTCTCGTTCCAAAACTTAGACTCTAAATCATTACGTACCCAGCATCATACACCGGACAGATTTGGAATATCTGACAAGTTATTGGATATAGAAATAACAATAATAACACTCTCGTTTGTTCGACATTCCCATATATTCTCATGTCCTACTTTTAACAAGTCAATGTGGTGGGTAAAAGTGAAAAAAAGAAAAAAAAAGTTTTAAGTATCAAAATCCTTTGCCTGGGAATGAGAATACTCCTGC